GGATTATTTGAGCAATCTGTCCACATATCAAAAAGCCTGTGGCTACCTTTACCTTCTGAAATTATCAGTGTCAATTTCCCTAATTTGAACACATTTCACTCACTGACAGGGTTCACTTCAGGCTCTTGGCAGTGAGTGGCCTTTTAATTTTTCAGATTGGACCATTTTTTTATGGTGCAGCTGGCATCCTGTCTATGGAGTAAGATGTGACTCATCGCGCAGCTTACATAAACTTTCTGATTCAACCGGCTTCAAAGGCACTTGCCTTTAAGACTTGAAAAACTTTAGTTCCAACTTTCTATTTTTTCCCTCCTATAAAAGGTCTCACAAAGGTTCTTGGCTTTACACAGTGTGAATATTCACACCAAACTCCAGGCTAACAGCTGGCATGACATTCTCAATCATAAGAAGCCCAGCATGATGAAGAATAAAGAGGCAGGGGGCCTATTTAGAAATGTGGGTATTTGGGAACCATTTTAGTTAGTGACCTCTCACAGCAACTCAAAGCATTTGGCTTCTTTTTCTCTTTAAACTAGTTCAGTGAAAAACAAGAGGCTCAAAAGAAAATGTCTTTTCGTATAAAACATGGCAAACTTCCTCTAATCTGGCAAAGGAAACCCGACATTGCTATAAGTAATTTTAATAAGTTTTTTTTTTTTAGTTCCGTGTTAATTTATGATTGATTTCCATGGTAACATTATGGAAAATATCCAGTAAACTGAAAAATCTACTGCACTAAATGTCATTCTGTGCTTCTGACATGCACTATAATAATGAGATATGTATCTCTGCTTTTGAAATGCTAACTGGGTTTTTGATACATGCACCAGACTTTCCTAAGGGAATATAAACCAATTATTTTTAGCCAGGATTTTATTATGTTCTTTCCACTAAATTTAGTTCAGTGTCAGAACTCACAAAGCATAATGCCTGTATGGTCTTAAGTACTAGATTACCTTTACATCACACTGAGAAATGCATATTCTAGAAAGTTTTTCTCCTACTTTTTGAAACTTGTTCACTGGGTGTATAGTATATTAGCAGTCAGTCAGAGTAGGACTTAAGTAGAAAACAAATATCATGTTGCTGCATTTACAAAAGATAAGAGTTATTGTACCTTCTGAAAGGTACCTTCTCTTGATCCTGGTAGATGGGATAAAATAACTTGGTTCTTGCCAACCCTAAGAATACTCTTCAAATAAATCTATCCCTGTTTATAGGAAGACAATCTCTGGAACATGTTGAGGGGTGATATTCTGGGAGGTCAAGATTTAAAATCTCCACCAATTCTATAATCAAACTACCATTTGTCAGTTGGCACCAACATAAGAAATGATAAGTAGCAGTCATAATTTTTGGTCTTGGTTATAAATGGAGGATGGGGATTGCCGAGGAGCAGAGAGTATTTATATAAGACTGCTTAACACCATCAGTTTTTCTATCAACCTATCTTTGGCCCTGACAACAAATCTGTACTAGGGATTAGAGGAACTGTTGTCAAAACCTCAGAACAACTGTTTTTCATCCAGATTTCTCATCCCATAAAGAATTTCACGGTCAGCTTTACTCTGAGGTCTGTGTATGCTAAGTCGCTTCTGACATGTCTGAGTCTTTTCGACCTCATGGACTGTAGCCCGCCAGGTGCCTCTGTCCATGGGATTCTCCAGGAAAGAACACTGGAGTGGGCTGCCGTGCCCTCCTCCAGGGGATCTTCCCGACCCAGGGATCGGGCCCACATCTCTTATGTCTCCTGCATTGCAGGCAGATTCTTTACTGCTGAGCCACCGGGGAAGGCCCCGACTGTGGGGTAAACGCACGCTAAAGAAAATGCAAGGACTGTCGGCGGCACAGATGAAGGGAGGGGGACGCTCTTACTGGTCTTGACGCTGTAGCGTATGACGTCCCGGCAGCGCTCTAGCAGCCGGTGGTGCGGCTCTCCCACATCCCTCAGCTCCAAGTCGAGAAGCCGCTTCAGCTCTTCAGGGGGCCGCCACTCACAGACCTGGGGGTTCGGCAACAGCACGGTTAGTGGGGCACCCACTGGAGCCAGGTGTGCAGAGGATGTAGGAAACACGGACCCCACCCTCGTGAAGCTTCCAGACAAGTGGAAGAGAGAGAGATGTAAACGGGCAACCCCAGTTCCCTGGGACCAGAGCTCTGACATCTGGTAAAGCAGATGCTGCTTGAACAAAGTAGGGGCTCTGTCTTCAATCTTGGAAGAAGTCCTGAAAGAACTGACATCCAAGTGGGACAAAATAAGACTGCAAAAGACCGAAGGCAGAAGGAGAAGAGGGCGACAAAGGATGAGATGGTTGGATGGCCTCACCGATTCAATGGACATGAACTTGGGCAGACTCCAGAAGATAGTGAGGTACAGGGAGGCCTGGCGTGCTGCAGCCCATGGGGTCACAAAGAGTCGGACATGATTTGGTGACTGAGCAACAACCAAAGAATCAAGCAAAGATTGTAAAGGATGGGGTCATGCAAAGGGCCTTCTAGGAGGAAGAACAGGACCAGCAGGGGCTGAGATACAAGGGCACCCGTGGCCCATCTGAAGGGAGAAGTCCGTTGGATGTGGCTTAAACTCAGAGCTTGGGGGATGTCGGGAAAAGTGGAGCTGGGATCCCAGAATAGCTCCCCCACTTGTCTCTGTCCTGGCCCCCGGCCCCACACAATCTGCACTCAACCCAGCAGTCAGCATCCAGAATGCTCCTCTTCTGTCTCAGCCACAGGCACCCCTCTGCTCAAATACTTCTGATGGCTCCTCATTTCCTTCGGAGCAAAAGCCCAAGTCCTCACAATGACCTACACCGACCCCGTACAACCGTTTCCCTGGTGGCGCTGACTTCTCCCAACTGACGCGCCCCCCACCCCACACCCTGGCCTCCTTTCTGCTCCTCATACGTGCCAGACGCACTCCCGTGGCAGGGTCTCTGCCCTCAGCCCAGAATGCAACCACTGCCCAAATCTCCTCACAGCTAACTTCCTCACTTCATTCAAAACCTTCTCGGACATCCCTCTGTCAAGTCAGCAATCCCGACTCTATTTAAAATCACAAGCTGTGTGTTTCTCTACCTCCAGAAGCTCCCCCCCAACTGGATCTTCTCTCCCTTTCTCCCTGTCACCTTCCAATGTGCTGTGTAATTCATTGTGACATTCTGCACAATCATCATGAGAGCAGAGGTGTCGGTCAGTTTTCTAACCACTCGCAAGGAACTAACAGAGCCTGCCACACAAGACGTTATCAACAACATGTTGAGTGAATGAATGAATGAAGAGATAAAACAAGGCTCAGATGGTGATGGGCTTCATGTGACATCTTATAGAGTTTGGCTCTAAAAAAACACTGATACGCTTTGGACAAGGGAATTACATGTGATCATATTAGTGTTTTAGACAATGGCTTTGGTTGCCATATGAAGATTCCAAGTAAAATTGGAAATAAGAGCAGGCAACAGAAGGTAGTGGTCCGGATGAGGCTGGCTGCCTCAGGAATGAAGCATATCTGGAGATACTGAACATGTGCCATCAATAGAACCTGGAAAGTAGCAACACAGGAAGGATGAGGGCAAGGACCGGCCAAAGGCCATCTTGAGCGTTCCAGCTGGCAGTGGTTTCATGGTGGGTGGGGTTGGGTGGGGCTGATGATGAGTTTGGGGCATTAGTCCAAGGCACCTTCAGGACATCCAAAGGGGGTGTAACAGCTGGTCTGAAGCTCTTGCGAAAGATCAGAAACAGAGTTGCAGGCATCTATTATGATGCGACCCAGGGGACACAGCTCAGAGGGAACCTGCAGTAAGAGCAGAAGGTGCGGGTCTCACCTGGGCAGCACCAGCGCGTGAGCAAAGGGTGACGGGAGAGGAGCTCGCTTGGGAGGTGAGGCAGGGAGCAACTCGGAAGGGCCCAGAGCTACTCCACAAAGGGAGAGGGACGCTCGCGGGAGGGGACGGGCACCACCGTCAGGTCCTGCAGAGAAGCCAAAGCAGACAGAGACTGGGAAGAGCTCCTGGGCTGGATCAACAGGGGGGTGTGCTGGGCAAGAGCGTCTGACCGAGGGCGGTGGGCGTGGAGGCCAGATTGCATGCAGCAAGGATGTGGGAGGTGAGGACGTGGAGGGAGGGGGCCGTGTCGATGATCCTTAAAATGTTTCCCTGTGGAGGGGAGGAGAGAGACAGGGGACTCTCCAGTGGGGGGAGACCAGGATCGGGGAGGCTGGGGAAAGCTGGGAGAAACATCAAATCATGCGAGAGGTATGAAATTAAACTCTGAGCTTAGAACCACGATGGGCAGAAGTCAACCAAACAGGCTGTGACCGTGGAAAGGAAGGACTTCCCTATTCTAACTCTCTCCCCCTCATTCACCTTCCACTTTCAGCAACACACCTGGGCCCACCTGTCTACCCATCAAAATCTCACTCCAGGAACTTCCCCGGCGGTCCAGTGGCTAAGACTCCGTGCTCGCAAAACAGGAGCTTGTGCTCAGTCCCTGGTCAGGGAACTAGATCCCTCATGCTGCAGGTAAGACCAGATGCAGCCAAATAAAAAGCAACAGCAACAATAAACACCGACTGCATTCTCAGATTCTGCATTAAAGTCCAAGGTGTCCACTTCTCAGTGAGATCTACCCAAAGTCTGCCCAAACCACATGGCATGTATCACCTTCTTTTTGGGACCCCCTGTTTTCCATCCCAATTCTGTTCAAAGCTGAGCCTTTATCTTACTTTACTTTATATCCCCCAGGGCTGAATATAACGCTTTACCCTTAGCTAGACTCAGTTAATATTTAATGACTGAATAAAGGCCAATATAAAAAATTTCCAGGGGAGTAGTGTACTCCAAAGTAAAGCAGGTCTAAAACGTTCCCCAGGTACAGCTAAGATAGGGGAGAAAACGCAATTATAAGCACAAAATTAGGAAATACCTTCAGTGATTTGAAATATGAAAGGCGTTCAGTGTGATAGCTATTAATTGTGAGATTCTGAGAGACACAGGAGGAGCCATTAAAAGCACAGACTCTGCAACCAGCCTGGATTCTGGCGCCCGCTCCGAGACCCGCTGGCATGTGCTTTGGGGCAACACCCTTGACATCTTGAGGCCCACTTTGCCCCTCGTCTCTAAAATGGAGTTGATCAATAGTACCGGCATCTTAGGGATCTTTACAGATTCAATACACAAACACATGGGTTAAATACACAAACACATATGGAGTAGTTCTTAGAATATCAACTGGCACAAAGTAATTACTATTAAGAACAGATGTCGTTAGTGGTGATTCCAATATTGTTTTGTGTGTGAATTCGAAAGTTAGAACTGGTCACTGGTACCAGTCAGAAAAGTCAGACTTAACAACCAAGGTTTCCAGTCTAAGCTCAGACAAACTGCTAGTAAAGACCCTCAGATAAATTTTAAAACTTTTCACACTTTTTCTACTGTCTGCTTGATTTCACTAGTAAGGAATATGCTTACTATGCATAAGGAATATGCACCAGACAATGGAAAGCAGGGTGTATGCTGGAGACTATAGAAATCAAATCATCGTTTGATTTACAATTTGTATCATCATCTGGGACAGAAAGGCTCCTCCTGTGCTTCACGGCCTTGCCTGGTTACACTCTGGGTCTCGGCCAGTCTCCCCACGCTGGCTAGCTGCTTTCCAGGAAAGCAGAAACTGGATGGGGGTCTGGAAGCTGAGGTAGGGTGGGAGAGTAGGTACCAACTTTGGTATCTGGGCATCCCCTTGACACAAAAGTACACAGGAAATGAAAGCATGATTCCTGTTCCCCTTACATCTAGTCATCCAGGGGTGGATAAAACCTAGCAGACCCATTCTTGCAGTCTCTCATAGGCTTTTACATTTACCTTCTCACTGATGTCTGTAGCCTTCAAAACCACCTCCTCCATTATTAGTCTACAGGCATCTTCCACAAATTTTTCTCCTGCTTTTGCATCTGTTGTGGGGCCGTTCAGTATGACTCCATCCACGAGAACCACATTCTTCCTGCTCGGAACCATCTCTTGTGGACCGATATCTCCTGGAAGCACACAATCAAACCACGTTTTAGAGAGAATCTTATTCCAGCACAAAGCAAAGCATGAAGGAATGGTCCACGATCCCACCTTCAAAGGGCATCCGTCATTTGATACATCTGAGGCGCTTACGCTAACAGGTTCTTATGGCACCCGATGATATGACACAGTTAAAGAAAGTTCCATTTTCCATTCTGCAGCATCTTTTGTTTAGCATCAGGGAGCATGCAGGAGTTCAAGCAATGTAAATTCAACCCATTTTACTCACTCACACAAACATCTTTCAGAGATGTGCAAAAATGACCTTTGTAACCACAAGCCCATGTCTGTTTCATGAGCACACACTCTCTTGTAATTTAAGGATGACTATATGTTTCCTTTTCATAAGTCATTCCCAGAGAAGAAGAAGTGTTGTCATGTTTTTTCTTCTCATTTTACATTTTAAGCCTGTGATTAAATGCCCCCCTTGCTGTGTCTCTGAAAGCCCCTCGTTAAATATACTTGGCCATTTCCTATTGGGAGGGGGAGGAAAACAGAGCAGCGTGAAGGTTCCTGTAAACTGTATCTCACACTTTGCAACTTCTCAAACTTGCAATTTAGGCAGGAGGATGGAACAGAACACTTTCAGGACTGGACAGCTGCGGGTCCAGCACTAAAGGTTAAAAGTCAACGTGGAAATCTATATCTGAGAATAAAGGTTACTGCCTACCCAAAATAGCTCTCCTCCAAATTAATTCTGGCAACTTAATCCAGATATTCAACCAATATCTGCCTCAAGCTCTAATTCGATCGTATGCTCTCTTTCTAATCAGTATCTCTTTCCTCCTTGTTATAGATATTCAATAACTTGTGAAAAGTTACACAAACAATTTTTAAATATTTTTCAGCGCCTTGCCAAGCACAGTACCTCCCTTAAACACACTGATGGGTCTGTATGTATTTCAAATATTTTTATACCTACTGAGGGTTCTAACAGTATTTACATTTATTACAGCCTTTAAATCTATGACTGGCAAACTGAAATGGTGTCCACAGGCAGATAAAATGTCGCGGGAAGATTCTCCAATTCCAGAATGATAGAATCTGTAGCAAACGATCGATCTTTTATCCTCAGACTGAGGGGTAAACCATTCAGAGCTCTCACGATGGATCTCAGCTTCATCCTTAGCTTTAACTTGTCTTCCCCTTGGAAAGATGTGTCTAACATGGTTTAGGGCCAAATGGTGAAGCCCCGGAAATGAGCTGTTGGATGGAAGTGCTTACCACTCAAGGCACTTTCCTCCCCCCAAATTTTAGGTCCTAAAAATAAATTGGAAAAGAGGGCAATTATTCAGGGAAGCCTGGTTATGTCAGTAGGCAGTGCTATTATTAAGTACACAGAAAAGGTCTAATTTTTTCTAACCTCATTAGTGGGATTTCAGATTTCTATTGCCCAGGGAATAGAAGCCACTCTGTAGGCCTCTAAGAGTCTCTCTCCTTCTCTCTCTCTCTCTGTTTCTCTTACACAATCACACAATGTCAAACACCCACTTGCAACCAAAATAGCAGAGATATTGAAATTAAAATAGTCTCTTGCTCCACAGCCATCAATTAAAGAAATCTATAATGTCTATATAGATTTTGAACAATTCTATAGGAGAAAACCCTACTTAAAGGCTATGAAGGTTTGGGTATGGATTATGCATCTTCTGTTGATGTTTTAATTCTCCAACAAGATGTGATCATGTGCCTCTCCTCTTCCCCCTGCCACACTGTCACATTGGCCCAGACTGGAGAAGACCCTCTGGAGGCTGAACCGTCAAGCTGCGCTCTTCTGGGGAGGCACATCAGGGCTCTGTCTGCTAGAGCTGACAGCAGTAAATACTCGAGCCTTCTACGAGAAGAATGTTCCAGGAAGAACACACCCAGAATCTGTCTGCTCTTCAGCACCCCCTCTCTTATCACCATCAAACACCTGGGTTCACTTCCCATTGAGCCCTCCAGCTGCCACCCTGCATGTACTGTGAAGGCAATTCTCAGCAAGGCAGCTCCCACGTTTCTTCAAAAAGCTAAGTCAGATCACACCTCGACTCTTCTGTTCCAACCATTCAGTGACCCCTTGTCAAATTAAAAGTCAAAGTTTTGATAATGACGTCTAAGGCTTTAAATGAGCTCCTTCCCCCATTATCTCTTGGGCATCAAACCACTTCTCTAATTGCTGCCCTCCAGCCTCACCACGTCCCACTCACTGCGGCCTCTTCACTCTTCGCGACTCTCTCCTTAAGCACCCGCTTCTCGGCGAGGCGTCCCCAGCGACCTCCTTTCACACTGCACCCACTCCTCTCGCCCACACTTTTCTCGGCTTTATTTAACTCCAGAGCGGTAACCACCCTGTGACATATGATATGTACAATATTTACTTATTTACTTGTTTAAATAGTGTCTTTGCAACAGAGATTACGCTCTGCAGGAATGATCTAGCTCCTACCAGCGGATGTCTGTTTCAGGGCAGCCGAAAGTGCCTGTCAGTTTGGAAGAGCTCCATAAACACTTCTTGGTTACTAGATAAAAGAAGCCTGGGACCCTGGCTCCTTCAACCAGCCAGCGACCATGTCCGCTCCTCTGAGACGCTGTCACAGGTTGCCAGCCCTAACCAAGCAGGAAATGCCTTTGGTAGGAACAGGGCGGACTCAGAACTCAATTCATGGACTAGGAAGGACCAGCAGGGGCTGAAAGAAGGACCCGGGAAACAGGGTCGATGAGGCAAAGCTGAGTTTGCAGTCTGGATCACCAAGGGAAACCATGGGTGAGAGGCTCCCACTGTCCTCAAGTGTATTCTTTTCACTGTCGTGTGTTTCTTTCTCTTCTCCCTCCTTCTCTGTTTTGTAGTCTTTCGATGTCTGAAGGTCAGTCCATGAAATATCTCACTCCAGGAACCACACTGCCAAACATGGAAACCAGTCAATCCCAAAACATTCTGACTTCTTTATTTCCACCAATTCCTCCACTCTATGGAGGAATGAAAGTATGAAAGTATGCTTTCCAAACCCCTATCTATATAATTAGCTTAACTTCTGTTTTGTCTGAAAAGATGCACCGTTCTTCCTTGCTGAAAAAATCATTAAGTGAAAGTTTTAGTCACTCGGTCGTGTCCAACTCTTTACAACCCCATGGACTGTAGCCCACCAGGCTCCTCTGGTGGAGACTCACGGAGTTCTCCTGGCAAGAATACTGGAGTGGATTGCCATTCCCGTCTCCAGGGGATCTTCCCAACCCAGGGGTCAAACTTGGGTCTCCTGCAGATTCTTTACCATCTGAGCCACCAGGGAAGCCCAAATGATAAATTCAGCTTCAAATATTATTTCAGAGTTTCACAGGATTAAATGAATTAATACAGATGAAGACCTAAAGCAATGCCTGGCAAATAGTGGGCTATCAGTAAATATGAGAAATATTAGCTAACTCAGGAAGTGTTAGGTAACAGCAGCAGGCAATCAAGACTATTTATTAAATACGTAAATAAACAGGAGTAATTACATGTGACGGTGAGCTATGACAGGGGAAAGGGAGATCTCAGAGTGATCAGACAACAGGGTAGTGAACTCTAAAGCGGCTGGTGAGTTATCTTCTGGAACAGTCGGAGGAAGGAGCCTCAGTGGGAGGGGGTTGCCTCGTGAAGAGAGCTGAACTTCCAACCAGGGTCAAGCACCTCTGTCCGCCCTGAGTGGGCAGCTATCTAGACTTCCTGCCTTGTCACTTTCCACTTTGCAGGAAAGCGGCTATTTGTGTAGAGGTTTTATTTCTTATAAAAGTTGGCTTAAAGCTCAACATTCAGAAAACTAAGATCATGGCATCTGGTCCTACCACCTCATGGGAAATAGATGGGGAGACAGTGGAAACAGTGTCAGACTTTNAGGGAGGCCTGGCGTGCTGCGATTCATGGGGTCGCAAAGAGTCAGACATGACTGAGCGACTGAACTGAACTGACTTTATTTCTTGTACCAGAGTGGAAACAACGACAGAAGGGATCCATTTCTCAATTTTCTGGATGTCCCAGGAAACAGTTTGGTTTTTGGTGTTCGCAAGCACTCAACAACTCTCTGCGCTGTTGGCTGGCTGCATCATTATCTTAGAGGTCATCGTATCTAACCCTTTCACATAGCCCCCAAACCCCTTCCCCAGCCCCGTGGCTGAGAAAACAGGAGAGCTGAGTTTGAGTCTCTCAGGTTCTCTGATCCTGGAATAACACTTTCTCTCTGTGCTTCACTTTCCCTCATCAGTAAAATAGGAGACAATGCAGGAAACGTGCTGGGCCGGCTGCGCTCTCACTGACACTAACACTGACACTTATCCTAACATGCAGGTGGGTTTAGGGACCACAGTTCTTGTTGACGTCTCAGAGGCTGCCTGGCTTCTCTCTTATCACTTAATGATTATGCATTCATTTCAACAAACATGGATCACTCACCTCCCCAGTGCCACCCAGCAGGCTAGAGGCTAAAGACAGGAGCTGGATCACCTCCTTAGGGATCTGAAGGTCCCTTCGGGGAGTCAGGTGCTGAAAATCTACAACAGTGCAAGACATGTGGGGCAGACTCTGCTCTCAGAATCTTACAGAGTTAAAAAATCTAATTGCCACAAAGTTTCCAGCTGGTTATTCGGGTTCTATAGTTGAGGAAGTTGAGACACAGAGAGTTTAATTGGCTTGCCCAGGGTCACAGAGCTGGTTAAGCAGTGAAACCGGGGTGAACAATACACTGAAGCTTTATGAAGGAGAGCAAGATACTGTGCTATGGACGTCTACAGTTTGTAAGGCAGTGTTAAGGAGTTAATAATGACAGCAAGATGAATTAGACTCACTTTCTGTCCTCTGTAACTGAGAGTCTCAGAGTTTGAATAATGCAATATTGATAATGAGTGTCACATGTCCTGAGGAAGACATCAATAACATGTTGAATGCAAACAATGTAGACATTTAGGCTTAGGGTTACAGGAGAAGCTGAGGGGTCAGAGAAGACTTCTGAAT